CTTCGCACAAGGGCTGGTTCGGGCATCAAGCTAAGAGACGCGCATTCAATGCGTAGTTCTGGCCAAGGCTTGGACAGTCATGTTCAACGCGATGTGCCCTGCTGAACTTGCAGCTCGTGGTGCCTATGCAATTTGGGAAGGCAAAGTTTGTTCCGGAACGGAGGCCTGTATGCAAGGTGTATCACGTTCAGCAACAAGTCACCATTATGTATCTTTTTGCTTGCGATCACTGGCACAGGCTCGTTTTGAGAACTGCCCCCACTACTACCCCAGTTGCGTCGCTTCACAGCGCTGCACAGAATGGGAGTGCATGAATGACGTTCCTTGCACATTGACAGCAGCAGATCCTCCCATCGCTGGGGACACGGAAGGACTCTGCGATGATCCAATGAACATCACCGAGTTCTTGCCGGATCCAATTCTCATGGACGATCGTGTGGACTTGGATGCATGCCACAAAGGAAGCCTTCGAGCACGCCTGTGGTGTTTGCAAGACGTAGAGTGGCTCTTGCCACTGGTCAGTGTCATTGCAGCACTGTGCATTGTTGGAGTCCAGTACACTTGGGAAACATCTCGACAGAAGGCGACCCGTCAGAGCCTTGAAAGCTCAAAAGAGGACATGCCAGAAGCCAGAGCTGTCGAGGCTGACAAGACTGTGACCATTCAGGTTCACGACGAGTTTGAAGTCGGTCAGGAAGTGCCACAGGAGAAGCCTTCTGCAGCAACTAGCGGGGAGTTCGCAGAAGACGTCATGTCCGCAGCACCATACGCCATGAAGCCCAAGACCCACATCGAGCTGGATGTGAATTCAAAGGCAACTGAGGCAGCGATGGACATCAACAAGCCTGAGTGTCACACCAATGCAGAAGAAGACCTCGAGAAGCCACGCCCGCTCAGGGCACCCACCACATTGGAGGGCAGGGCGGAAAAGGAGTCGGCAGCTACGGCGGGCACAGCCAGGCTGGCGCAGATGGTCCGAACGCGTAAAGCTGGCAATAGGTACCCGCTTGGGCTAGCACGCTTCATGGGCTCGACCCATGTTGTTTTGGGCCACCTTTTTGCAAAGGGGGCGACGCATCCCGTGTACTTTTTCGGCTGGGGCTTCACTTGGGTGCCTTGGTTCTTCATGCTGTCTGGATTCGTCCTTTTCTCTGCGTATCTGAAGAACCCCAAGGAGGAGACTATGATCCAGTATGTTCTGCGCAGGAGCACAACAATCTACCCATTGTACGCCTTCTCTCTCATCCCAGCCTTCATCATGCAAAAGAGCTTGGGTACCATGTCTGCAGACTGGCCGACGTTGCTAGCACAGTCCTTCCTGCTTCAAGCATGGTGGCCGACGTTTACCGAAAACGCCCTTCAAATGCATTGCTGGTTTCTGAGCTGCATGGTTGTGTATTGGTTTTTCTTCAAG